TTGGTTTGGATGGGAATTCTGGATTACAAGGGGGCACTCTCCCCAGGGGGACAGCTTGAGGCTCTGTCTCCAAAAAAAAAAAAAAAAAAAAAAGGGAGGATCTCCAGGGGACCAGGAGAGGGTCTGTGGGGGGACAATGGCACGTGGCCTGTGCCCTGATGGTGACAGGTCCTTTTGTCCCTGGCTGGGGGCTGCTTCCCAGTGGACAGATGGACTAGTCTCCTCAGAGGTGTAGGGTTGGGGGTTTTGCTGGTCACAATTTTAAGCATCCAAAGTGGTTCACATATAAACTCGGGTCTAGAGCTGGACATCATGAGTTCAGAGACTGGCTTTGCCACTTTCTAGCTGAGCAGAGGCCAGGTGCTAAAAAATCTCTCGTTGCCTCAGTTTCCTCAGTAGTAAGCAGGGTTAAAAGAAATAGCATAGTACCTTGGTTAATGGCATAAGCTCTGGAGGCAGACTATGGGGGTTTGAATTCTACATCCCACCAGCTGTGTGGCTTTGGGCAAGTCACTCAGCTTCTCTGTGCCTTAGGGTTTTTTGTTTTTTGAGACAGAGCCTCAAGCTGTCCTCCTGGGTAGAGTGCTGTGGCATCACAGCTCACAGCAACCTCCAACTCTTGGGCTCAAGCAAGTCTCCTGCCTCAGCCTCCCAAGTAGCTGGGACTGCAGGTGCCCGCCACAACACCTGGCTATTTTTTTGTTGCAGTTTGGCCAGGGCCGGGTTTGAACCCACCACCCTCGGTATGTGGGGCCGGCGCCCTACTCGCTGAGCCATAAGCGCCGCCTATAATATTTTTGAGACAGAGTTTTACTCTGTTGCCCAGGCTAGAGTATTGTGTCAGCCTAGCTCACAGCCATCTCCAACTCCTAAGTTCAAGCAATCCTCCTTCCTCACCCTCCTAAGTAGCTGGGACTACAGGCACCCACTAACATGTCCAGCTGATTTTTCTATTTTTAGTAGAGATAGGGTCTCACTCTTGCTCCAGCTGGTCTTGAACTCCTGACCTCAAGGGATCCTCCCGCCTTAGCCTCCCAGAGTGCTAGGATTACAAGTATGAACAACTATGCCTGGCCTTTTAAAAATTTTTTCGAGACAGGGTCTTGCTCTGTTCCCCTGAGTAGTGCAGTAGTATCATCATAGCTCACAGGACTCAAGCTCTCCTCCTGTCTCAGCCTCCCCAAAATGCTGAGACTACAGGTACAGGCCACTGAACCAGCCCCAAATTGCTTTTAATTAAATTGAAAATCCTGTTGGCTTACAGAGAGGCCTTTTGTGTTAGCTCCTTCCCATCTGCCCAGTTGACAGATGAGGAAACCAAAGCCCATGCAGGGCTCCCATTTGCTCAAGGGGTTATGGTGTTCTTCTTGAAGACCTCCACCAGTGTTGGAGATTCAGGGATGGGGAGTTTCAGGGACTAGGTTAAGGCTTGGAGCAAAAGGATATAAGCTGCAGACTTGTGTCCTCTGCCTGGGTCACATGAGGACTCTGGGAACCTGGATGAGGCTCAGCCCAGCTAGCCAGGGCTTCAAAGGGGGGGGATCTCGGGCTCGGCGCCTATAGCTCAACGTGCTAGGGCACCAGCCACGTACACCTAAGGTGGCAGGTTCGAATCCCCAGCCCGGACCCACCAAACAACAATGACGACGGCTGCAACCAAAAAATAGCCGGGCGTTGTGGCGGGCGCCTGTGGTCCCAGCTACTTGGGAGGCGGAGGCAGGAGACTCGCTTGAGCCCA